TGCTACTTAGACTTTTATAGCAAGAAAACCATAATGAATTTCAGTGACGTTTGACTATGTTAGCTCAACTGACAAGTTAACAGATAACTATGAATATGTTATAGTAACTAGGCCAGTGAAAAACAACATAGTCGGCTACTCTACTTTGTGTAGACAATTGTATTTCAGTCAGAGAGACATATTATATTTTATGAGATAATTCGCAAAAAACTTTTATCTTGCAGGATTCGAAATAAAAATCTTGTTTTTAACTAGAAAGAAGCAATGGATTGTTTTGATAAAAATGACTTCGAAAACGGAAATAAATCTCATAAATTAAAAGAAAATCATAGAAATAAAGAAAAATTCGTTGAGAAAAAAAAAGATAAAAAACTTAATGATTATATTTCAATGAAATCACATCAAGATGATAATGATAGTTTATCATCATATCCAAGTAGAACAAGTGAAATATCTCAACATTCTATTTTATCAAAACATTCATTACAATCAATTGTTGACTTACCTAATCATAAACAAAAAAAACAAAAAAAAAATCTTAAGAAAAGTAAATTTTATTTAAATATATAACATAAATAAATTACAAAAATTATTTCATTTATTTAGAACATTCAAAAAATCTTAGAAATAAAAAAACTCTAAATGAAACACCATCCATACATTCATTATATAGTCAAACAAGTAATTATTAAAAATCAACTCTTCATTCTTATATTAGAATTTAAACATCGACTAGAATAAATGATCTCTTCTTCTTTTTTTTTATTTCTTAATAGACAAATTTATTCCGTTGACAGATAGTGAAAATAAATTGAATAAATCCTATAAAAATAATCGAATAGATAACAAACAAGATGAAAGAAGTATATCATCAACTAATAATGGTATTTATATATATATATATATAATATTTAAATTAAAATGAATTTAAATTTAAATTCTATTAGATTCAAATTTATCAATAGATTCATTTCATTTAAATGATGATTATGATAAAAAACCAATTGAATCAAAACAAGACAATCGATCAACACCATATCATATTGAATATCCTGGCAAAAAAAATTCTCATGATAGAAAACATGTTGAAAAATGTTTAAATTTTTATCAGAATATTCGAAAATATTTTGATGATGATGTTGCTGCTATGCTTCTTAAATGTTGTTTATGTTATAATCATTGTTCAATTGATAAATAAAATATGTTTTCATTTTGAGATATTTCGAAATTGACGACGAAAAAAAAAACAAAAGACAAGATTTATACAAATAAAACAAATGTCAATTTTTTTTTTTTAATAATCGAGTTACTGTTTATTCTTTCATAATGCGTACATATATGAAAAGAATAGACGAAAAAAAAAAAGCCATGAGACATTCATTTGATTATTTATCTTAATATTAAATGTCAGAGAAAAAACATCGTCTTAGTCTAACAAAACACCATGTACATCGAGATAAACAAGCAAACAATAGAATATTTTCTGATATTGATGTTAATACTCCCACAATGTCTAATTATGATCCGAATGATCAACCATCACCCATTGATCAACCAATCAATCAACATTTAATACCAACAGGTGTTGGTAAGTTACGATTTAAACAACTTCATTATTAGAAATTTATATATATATATATATGATTAGTCGATACTGATGAAACAGTAGAGATTCCTATAAGATCTTCAAATTCTCATCGTCAACATCATACGAAACAATACAGAATTATTCGACCTACACAAGTAGATGATAGTGATGATGTTCATTTACCATCTATTCATAATCATTCTCATAAACATCATCCATATGAATATCATCATCATCATCATCATCATCATGATCATTCTATTCATAATAAACATGATCGTTATCGTTATGATTCGAATGGAAGAACATATGATCCTCGTTGGTGGTATATGCCAATCAATTCAGTTCATGGACCGATATCACAAAGACGATTTGATTATCATTATGTTCCTCCGAAATGGTATGAATTGCCTAGTAGACATTAACATTTTAACAAATATTTCTCGATTAATATTACATAAACGAACACAATATCATTTCTATCTATTAACTTTCAATATGTTTACTAAAAAAAAGAATTTTTTTTTTTTTTTTTTTTAATATAAAATAAATTGTCAATTAATGCAATCTAACTTGTTGTTAGTAACGACAAGACAAAAAATAAAACGAAAGGAAGAAAGAATAAGATTTCTTTAGCTTATGTAAATCAAAACGTTGTTGTTGTTATTATTACTATTGCGAATGTTGTTTAACCATAAAAAAAAAAATGCTTTTTCAAATGATTTAATCGAGTTTTTTGATTTTGAGAGAGAGAGAGAGAAAGAAGCCAGACAAAAACGTTTATTTTGCAGGTGAAAAATGCAGCCAAATCCAAATCGTACTAATCGATTAGCTGTAGACAATCCTACTCATTTAAACTCGTATGATCCATCAGCACCTTATCGTGCAATGATGAACCCGCCACCTCCTCCAATAAACCCTAATATTCCAGCTAACAATTTATATCATGCGAATCCTAATCTATCGAAAAATGTTCCTCCTGGAACTTATGATCCAAGAAATGGTGCTGCCACACGTATACCACGATATTATTATCCACGTTATGATGGTGCTTACGATACTTATGTTCTTGAAATGAGAGAAACAGATCCTTATTTACAACCAATAGATAATCCACAACCAGCTCCATTGTCGGATGATCCATATGCATCGGGTCCATATTATCCTAATGCTTCATCATATGGTGTTCCATCGTCAAGTAATTATCCTCATGAAAATTTTAATCCATATAGACAAATACAACCAAATTCTGATGTAATTAGTTCACATAGAAAAGATGCTGATTTAAGCCGTCTTGAAGTATATCATTTTGCTCCAAAACAGAACCCAATATTACCACCAGTAGTACAATATCATGTTTATTCATATCCTCCATCAGTAGGAGGTCAACCACAATCAATACCATCAAAAAAACAATCATCTTACTATTATCCACAAAATGATAATCAATCGGATGTTGCTCATTATTTATCAGATCCATCTCAAGGACAAATACCTTTTGCAGAAACAAAAGCACGTAGTTCTCAAACAGATCAACCTGCTACAAAGAATCGTGCAGTTTCTCCGATGTATTTTTCTGGTGAACCATCATCTATTACTGATAATGATGGTTATCCAAATATACAACATAAACAAGTTCATACTGATCGATATAATATTAAAACAGGAAGAATAAATCGACAATTTTATGATAAACATCGTTCATCTGCTTTGCCTGATTGTCGTTGTTTAGATTGTCAACAAGAAAGATCAAAAGTACTTAACTATTATCCTGATTAAATCAAGAATATACCTATAAATATTTATTCAACATTCTTTGTCAAATTTGTTTTTTTTTTTTCATATTAAATCAGATCTCTTTTATTTAAACATAATATCTTAGTCAATATTTCATTGTCTGATTCCTTATTATATCACTCATATTAAATAGAAGATTATAAATATTCGATAAAGAAATCGTTATTATCATATAATAAGACTATATTTATACTAAGATCTTAATGAAATTTTTTAATATCAATGTATCATTGAATATATGTTTGATCAATGGATTAATTATCATATTTATAGAAATAAAATTATAATTTTTCATCAAAATCGAATAACTTAATATTCTCTAATGTGTATTATTGAAAGTAATATTTTTTCCTAGTGGGTTTTTTTTTTCGAAACAAAAAAAAAATCGAAGCTTATTTATATTTGATTCTACACTTATTAATAAATAAAGATAAAAAGATAAAAAGAAAAAGCTAATAGATAAATGAGACGCCTTCAAAAATAAATTTTAAAAATTTTCGTTTAGTAAAATAAAAAAAAAAAAAAATCAATATTGTGTAGGTTGATAGTTATGGAAACAAGCACTGGACGTTTGCCAATATGAATATTTAGCATGAGAAAAAAAAAACAGCTGACAGCCCACATAGTTCGATATTTAACTGATAAAGAAGATCTATAAAAAGCGATAAATTAAAACAAATCCATTTCATTCTTTCAGGCAACTGCTAAACCAAAGGGTAAGATAAATACAATCGATTTATTTTCTCACATTGATTTTTTCTTATTTTTATTTTTTTAAATACTTCTTTAGCTAAGAATGCGTTCCCAATTCATTGTTCTACTTGTTGTCGGTCTTGTTGCATCGACTCATGCTTATCATCTTTCGGATGCTAAAAAACGTTCAATTGAGAGTGATGCTCGTCTTTTCAATGCTCTCCAAGATTTCTTTAATCAAGTTGTTCATCCACCACTTAATCATGTTGTTCAAAGTTTGTATTATTATTTACTTCTCTGTTAAATACCAAAAAAAAAAAAAACATTTCTATTTCTATAAAAGGTTTGGCTTTGATGGGTGCACAAGTTTTAGCTGGTATCTCTCAAACTGGTATTCCAACAATCGGTGGTCGTACAGTTCATCTATCCGAACCTCAACTTCGAGGTATCTTCGATGATTTATGGCAAAATGTTGTAAAACCACCTATTGAACAAGCTCTTCAAGGTTAAGAAAAAATCTATTTAAACAAGTATTCCATTATCGAAATTTAAAATATTTATCTTTCAGGACTTTCACTCATGGCCGCTCAAGTTCTTGCTGGTGTTGGTACCAATGGTATTAACTTGTCAAATATCTTTGGTAAACGTGATTTAAATGAAGATGAAGCACGCTTCCTTGATACACTCACTCAAGTATTGGGTAATTTATTTACTTCAGTCGTTCAAAAACCATTAGAACAAGCTTTACAAAGTAAAAACAATTCAAATGTTTGTTTTGTTTTTATCAATATTTTAAAACAATTTGTTTTGTTTTTCTGTTTAGCATCTGCTTTAATGGCCGCTCAAGTCCTTGCTGGTATTGGTACTAATGGTATTAATTTGTCAAATATCCTTGGTAAACAAGGTTTAAGTGAAGATGAAGCACGTTTCCTTGACACAATCACTCAAGTATTGGGTAATTTATTTACTTCAGTCGTTCAAAAACCATTAGAACAAGCTTTACAAAGTAAAAATAATTCAAATATTTTTTTAATGAATATTCTAAAAGAAGTAGTTTTGTTTAGCATCTGCTTTGATGGCCGCTCAAGTTCTTGCTGGTATTGGTACTAATGGTATTAACTTGTCAAATATTCTTGGTAAACAAGATTTAAGTGAAGATGAAGCACGTTTCCTTGATAC